TTTCTACCAATACACACTTTGTCCCAAAATTTATATCAAATTATGAATGAATTAGGCTAAAGCAAAATGTAGATTATGAACAATTAAGAAGATGAACTAGGGTTTTGCATAAATTGGAATCACAAAACTTTGTTTTATATAGGAACACAGTCTTCTGTCTGTTCCTCTTTTTTTCTTCGATTTCTCTATTGCCTTTTTTTATTGAGAAAGTTCATTTTTTTTTTTTTGCCTCTTCATCCCAATTTTCAGTAGACGAACATATATATAACTCTTACGTGCTTATCACGTAGGACAAAGTGTGTATTGGTGAGAAATATAGATAATTTTTTGTCTCTTATCCTCATGTTGTAGTCACATTCTTGTCATATAAGTGGATTCTATTAAAGATTTAAATGATAGAGTAACAGAAAGGGGACATTAACACTTGTGTAAGGACCAAAATGAGATTTTACCAAAAGTGCAAATGGTTGACTATCACGATTTTATGTGTAGGAGCTAATGTGAGATTTGATTAAAAGTGTAAGGGGTTGACTGTCATGATTTCTTGTATAGAAACCAAAATAAGATTTGTTGTGGAGTTTATGGGTGCAAAGGGTAATTTACCCTTAAAAATTAATCAAAACTCACAATCAAAACCGAGCCAAATTTTGACGGGAGCCTGCGAGGCCCGACATGGGCCAAGCCAAATTTACACCGTTACACCAAACACATATTCACAAGTATAATTAAAGAATTAAAGCATAATACGAAGGAGGGTTATCACAACTTGGCTTTTTTTGGTAGAGTTATAGAATTATGATTTGAGTGTGGAGTTGTATTTTTAATTTGTGAGTTTTAGAATTATGATTTGAAAAGAGAAAATGTGTTTGGTTATAAGTTTTGAAAAGAGTTTTAAATTATGATTTGAATTGAGTGTTGAATTTTTGAAATGAGTGTTGAGTTTGTGAAAAGTTATTTGATTATGATTTTCAAAACTAAATTCAAAAACTTATAACTCATAACCAAACACACAACTTGAAACTATATTGAAAATTTTATTCGAAACCCATAATTAAAGTCTTTTTAAAATTCAATTCAATAAATTATTATTGACAAAAAATAATTTTTTTTACTTAAAAAATTAAAAAATTCCAAAAATATTTTTTTATTTAAAATATTATAAGAAAATATTCCTATTTTTTAAAATTACTGTGACAAATTAATTTTTATTTCAATTTTTTTATGTTAATTTTAAATAAATGTCCAAATAATTTGCCTTTTTGGTCTCAATTTTTTTTTTCTATATTTAAAAAAATATCAAAACCAAATATAATTTTTTTTCCCTAGATAACAGGTGCCCAAAAAAAAAAAAAAAAAAAAATTGTTTCGGTCTCCGGGGAGACGACTGGGTAGACCTAAAAATTCAAAAACTATCTAGGCGAATATCTAGGCAGACGACTAGGTAGACCAAAAATTCAAGAAACTCTTTGGTTTACCAAATATGTTATCAAGATGTGTTTTGAAATTGATTTAGAATCATGATTTGAAAACTGTAAACAAATAGAGGGTTGATTATTAGTGTGGAATGATGGTTTGAAACACAAACGAAACACGGCCAAAATTTTCATAAATATTTTAAACATATAAATCCAACAAATTTCAAAGTCTAATTTAAAATTCAAAAAATCAAAACTTAAAGTACAACTCAAAACTATTTTCAAAATTCAAAATTCAAACTCTTTTCAAAACTCAAAACCAAACAAATTTTCTTTTTCAAAACTCAACTCACAACTCCATACTTAAATCACAACTCCACACTCAAATCATAATTCTAAAATTAAACCAAACGAAGCCAAGTTGTGATAACCCTCCTTCGTATTATGCTTTAATTCTTTAATTATACTTGTGAATATGTGTTTGGTGTAACGGTGTAAATTTGGCTTGGCCCATGTCGGGCCTCGCAGGCTCCCGTCAAAATTTGGCTCGGACCGGGTCAGGCTGGCCCACGGACCAGAAAATTAGGCCTAGGCCCAGGCCTAGGGGTATTCGGGCCAGTAGGCCTAAGCCTAGGCCTGGGCTCGGGCGGGGCAGGCTTGGGTAGGCCTGAACAAATTTTTTGTTTTTTTATTTTTTCTACCAAAATTTTATTATTTTCCACTAAAAAAAAACACTAGGCCTTGGGCAAGCCGGGTCTCGGGGCGGGCCTTGAGTGGGCCTGAAGCGAGCCAATGGGCCAAATCGGGGCTTCAAAATGATAGCCTAGGCCCTGGCCCAGGTTTTGAGCTGGGCTCGGGCCCAAACAGGTCGGGCCCACTACAGCCCGCGAGCGAGTTTAGGGCCGCCTACGGGTCACGGGCCATTTTTACCCTCCTAATTTGGTATGTAGTTTTCGACATGTATTCAATCATAATAAGATGCCTCAAGAAGCATGAACGCAGGGAGTATAGCATTAGGTCGTAGAGTTGCCAACCCCGGTATGGCACCATAGTGTTGAGTCATTGCCCTTTTGGGGTCCAAGAGTGTGTACCAAAGTCTTTGTCAAGCGTGTTTGGAGATTACTATAAACATGCCCAAATCTGCAAGTCATAAATTAGAAATCCAATAATAAAGTAAAAAAATTAAAATAAGATCTCTGAATGGAAATACTTAATATACAAAAACACTACAATAAAAAAGGGTTTTTACGACATGCAATGTATGCCGTAAAAACCCTTCTACGACGTGCAAGCGTGAGTCATATTATGACCAGTCATGGAAAGCCATTTACTTTCAACGATATGTTTCGTACGCCATTAATAACTATTTAACGACAGATTTTGTACGTCGTCGTTACTTTTTCTACAACATGCTATAGTACGTCGTTAAAAACTATTTAACGACAGATTTTGTGCGTCATCGTTACTTTTTCTATGACTACTTTTGCACGCCATAAATTGGTTAGAGAAATAATGACGTTGATTGCGCGCCGTAAAATATGTAATACAACGACTTATTATGCCTGTCGTAGAAATGCAATTATTTATTTATTTATTTATTTATTAAAATTCAACAAGTTCTATTTGACCAATTTGGTACAATCTAACAAATATTACAAACAAACATCACAAAACATCAATCAACCACCAAAATATTATTTGAAACATTAAAAAAAAAAACTATATCCATAAATTATAAACTTTCAACAATTGTCTATACATTTCAAACATTCGAAAACTATATCCTTAAATTCTAAATTGTACAAAAAATTTAAACCATCCAAAACTATGCATATCTAACTTTCTAAACATATCGACAACTATTAAGAGATTATCTAAAACTACCGACAATAGTTCCTATAGCAGTTGCAGCTGCAACTGCAGCTGTAGCAAATCCACTTGCTTCTATCACAGGGACGAGGGTGCCCAATGTATGTGTCACCTAAACCAGCGGTGTAGTGATCCCGGTTTCGACCATTCTTTCTTGTTTTGCCACTTCAACTGGGCAGCTTGCCGAAAAGCAAAAATGCAAAATGCATTCGAAATTGCTTACAGGAAAGTGTATTTGACGCTCGAGCGGAGCTTTCCAAGCGCGAGCGGACCTTGTTATTTCAGTCCGTAAAATTAGGGTTTCATATCATTTCTTGCAGCCCCCTCTCTCTCTAAAACTCTCCAAAATCCTGATCTAGAGCTTCTCTCTCTAGAAGTCACCTTCTCACTTTGATTTTTTCCAAATCCTTTGGGACTTAAGCCTAAGTTCTGAACCAAAGTTGGTCATCATCTCGAGGGCTTCATTTTGTGTGGTGAAGATCGAGTTTCGACACCGTTGATTTTGGGAGTTTCATCTCATTTCTTCTTCAAAACTTAAGGTAGGGATTTTCTTTGAGTTATATATATATATATTTTTGCAAGATCTAGATGGTTTTCGAAATCATCCTTTGATAGCTTCTGAAAATTTATTTTGATTTAAGAAGTTGAACGATTTTGAAAGTGGGTTTGTCTCTTGTTCTTTTAAAATAATCTCATGGATTTTGATCTTTGTTGATTGAAGAAAATATGATTTTCGAGAGTTTTCTTTTAAAAGATTTGAGCTATGTAGTTTGGTGAGAAAACCTTGGAATTGGAGATTTTAAAAGAGATTGAAAATCCATGGGTAACATTGTTATATTTAATTTTGTGTGCCAAAATAAATAATGTTTAGAAAATTTCTTATTTATATTCGTATAAATGATTAATTTTGTGGATTATGAGAATTGTTGTTTATTTTAGAAATGGTTATTCAAAATGTTGATATAGTCTTGAAATGACTAAACTGTTGAGAATACTTGAGAATAGGAAATTTTGTTTATTCCTTGAATGATGAATTTGAATAAAAGTAATTGTGTTCATCTTGTGAAATTGGCATATCATTTCATTTCATTACATTAGACTTTGAAGGTTGATTTGAAAACTCACATTAAGAAAAGAATGTTGAGAAATAAGTTTTCATGAAATAGTTTTGGGATAAATATGTTGGTAAGTCTTGATAGGTGGTGTAGAATAAGTTGGCCTGCGGGTTCAGGGTGAAAGACCGAAAAATCCACGCGGATAGGTGTAGAGCCTTCCAGTTGCGATTAGTAAAAATGACAATTTGGTAATACTTGTATAGTCTACTTGCAGACACCGGCCTAGGGATTACCAGAGATGTATTTACCGCCCTTGAAATAAATTGTTGAGTTTTGAACAATTGAGATCACATGATATCATTGAGCATGATGGTTTTCAAAAGATGAAAATGTAATTTATTTCCAAAAATGGCATAACATCGCATGTGCATTTCATCTCTCGAGACTTGTATAAAATGTATATACTTCGTTAAGAATTTTCTACTGGGCTTTATGCTCACCTTACGGGATTTTTGTGTAGGAAAAGATGTGGTGATTCCACCCAACTAGGGGCGTAGAAGTATGTGTTGGGAGTACAATGCTCTCATTTTGCGTGACTCTATTTTGTAAGCCAAGGGTTGTATTTGTGTTGAGTTGAAACTCTATTTTGTGTAACCAAGAATGTTCTTGAATAAATTTGTAAGCCTGTAAGGCACTTAATATCTGTTTGGCTTCCATTTCATATTTATTGTAAAATGCATGTTTGGGATTAGAACTGGAGCATTGATATGAGAACGACATGTATTTGGCATTTGGGATTTAAAGGAAATGAGTGTATGGATTAGTTAACTATATATATATATGTGTGTGTGTGTGTGTGTGTGTGTGTCTATCAGGTGGGTTTTGTTGCATAAATAGATATATCATGGCCAATTTTATTTTTTTTTGGGATGTTTCACGCAGCAATAGCTGGAGCAACTAACCCTATTGCATTTCCTGTCTGCATGACAAAGGAAACTTCACATAAGTACATAAACCAACTCAAGACAAAAATATTTTTGAGGTATTAAGAAATGATCAAGAAATTTTAAAACAACAACAAAGCATTTCCAAAATTAATAAGATAATTCAATGGCCCCATAAAAGCAATGTCATAATGAAAAATTAGCAAAAATTCAAGATATCAATAGTCTCAACGTATCTGCAAATAAAATCCACATAAAGCAAAACCTTTTTTTTTATACCTCAAATGAAGTTACCTCTAATGGAGTTACATCTTTTGTTGCAATGTTTCTTGAGGGAAATGAGTAGGAATCTTCAAACAAACCATTAAGTTTGTACAAGAATATATAGTTTGCAACTAAATTCAGACCATAAGAAGCTCAAGAGAAAAATTAAATATAAAAAGAAGAGAAGGAATTAATCTATTTCAATGCAGCACATACTTGGGACTTGCATAATTATGTTAAAGGATCTCTACTTTTCCAAACCTTAAATCCTACAATTCATTGTTAAGAGTTTCATCAACAATTAATTTTAAAAAAATCAAAATCAAAACCAATTCTTAAGACCGAGTGTGGTATTTATAACCCATTCCTCTTCGGATAGGCATGGAAATTGTATAATTAAGATCAATCACAGAACATATAAGTTTAGCATCAGTCCATCCACCCACACTTGGGTCCAAAAGCAGCCTTTTCACCACATCCTATTCCACTTTGGATTTATCAGCAGAAATTAGAACCATTCCTTGTCCATGAAAAGCTGGGTTTGAACCATTCCCTGTCATTACGAGGCTTTACAGTCATTACTAGGGCACATGTCATTACTAGGGTTGGCAGGGGCCCATGTCATTACTATGCCATGTGCTTAAAGTTTAATAGCGTTTACAGTACCATTTTTTACTGCTGATGGTCTAAACATAAAGCTTATCAATATTTCTTGTCAATGGTTACACATAATTTACAGTAGCTGTAGGCGTACAATGCATCAAGTTAACATGTCATACTACTGAATATGCTTCAGAAGCCTTACAGACATAGCAGTGTCGAATAGAGATCTAAAACTTTAACCATTCAAGGCAGTTTAATGTATTATTTGCATCACCAAAATATACCAGAAAGAGGATAGTTAATATCAGCTTATTTGACCAAAACTATTTACAAAAACATCAGGTGCAGCTTTTGCTGTGTAAACCTTTTGGTAAATATTTTCCCAACTTCCCACTAATATAGTAAACCTTACAAGAGTGTGACACATGTATTCACAGAAGAGCTTGCTTACCTTGCACTTATCCCACAAAGAAGGCAATAGCTCCTCTGAGGTTAGGTTCTTTTGCAATTTCTTATACATCGCAGTGATGGACTTGTCAACCTGAACAACACTAGTCTTGCGTTACTGAACCATCTTTGATACTAAAGGCAGGAGATACTATAGGTTACATAATGACTTACCCCAGATAAATTGGATTTCACCACCTTCCGTAGATCCAATTTTGACAATCCAAGCTGGAATGGGATCTGCAATTTTTACAAAAGAAAACAAACTATGGCCACATCATGTAATCCTAATAAATAGCGAGTGAATAAAAATCTTCAGGCAAAGACTCATATCAACAATTACTGCAGTACTTATACTGAGTTTAGTGTAAAACAAGTGGTACACCCATCCAATCTCCGAAAAATTCATTACCCAAACTTAAAATGTTGGGACTTGGTAAATGCCTGGGAAAAGAAGGCATTGGCTCCGCTGATGACATCCAAGCAATCACCAGAAATACAGACAAAAGAACATCGCCAACAAAGAGAAGAACATCATTTTGGACGGACAGAACATCGCCAACAAAGGGAAAAGATACATGTCACTTTTTTTATTTTTTTATTCAGAGGGTGTATGTCTAAAGGATCAAAAAGCATAACAACCATGACATATTCAATGGACTTCAAGATCTAAGCTGCCTAAATAAATCCCCAAATGACCACAGCAGCATCAAATTACTATTTGTTCTTCTGGAAATGTTTCTACCCAATTAAAATTGCTGCAAATTTCCAGCAATGTACAATTTACTGTTAAGCATTTAACTAGTGGTTAAAAGCTTGTAGTAACACATATATTTTTCCAAAGAGTATTATACAAATTAACAAAATTTACATACTTCTGTTACTCATATGAGTTGCGCCTAACATATTATTCTAGTGGGTCTCGTTATAGATACCAAAGTGTCATTACTATATGCTACATGTTTAAGTAAGAAAAGTTTCTGAGTTTTGTTATTTTGTGTAGCATTTTTCTTTTCCAAAACACTTAAAACACGTTCCACCGAAATCAATGCTAAGCCTAACTAAACTCCAAGAAGCTAAGCCGTCTCGTAGGCAAAAATTGGGAAAATATTTACTATTAGCAAAAATTCAAAATCTAAAGAGTCACAACATATATGCAAATAAAATCCACATAAAGCAAAACCTTTTTTTTTCATACTTCAAATAAAGTTACCTCTAATGAAATTACCTCTTTTGTTGCAATGTTTCTAGAGGGAAATGAGTAGGAATTTTCAAACAAACCATCACGGCAAAAAGCCTATTCGAATTCAACCTTTCTGAAACATAAACCAGCAGAGCCATAACAACTATAATTCTGGTAAACCTCATAGCCAAACATCTCCTAGAGTCAGACATTGTATATACCCTCTTTGGTGTATCAAATTAACAGCAAAATTAGATAATTTAGCAACTTTGTGTATGCAGAAATAAGAAATCCAACAAAACTAATTAATGGTTATGTAGATATAAGAAGAAGAGGTTGATTAAACAGTCATCTCAAAGAAATAACTAAAATAAACACATCGAAGTTCAAGGAGTTAACGTACCTCTATAGGTACAACAATTCCTGCATTAAAAATCATAACCAAATCTATATAGGTATAGCAATTCCTGCATTAAAAATAAATAAGTAAAAGGAAGAAAAAGACGAAGAGTTTTTTATATATTGAAAGGTAGACTAAAGCTTCCACTTGCCTGTGCAGCTGCATCAAAATAATACAAGTTCCATATATATCAAAACTTGCGCGACATAAATAATCTAAACTAAGATCAATCATATCACTAAGAAATGAGTACAGTTCAATAATAAACCTACTGTCTACAATCATGCAAAATGCTATGGTTCTAGTTGAGGCAACACAAACACAACAGGAAAGCAAAATAAAGTGAGGTAAGGCATAAGGCATAGATAGGTGTTTTTCAAAAAACTCTCTTTCAAAAAACCTCCACCTCGGGCCTCACCGTTGGCCAGCCGGCCGCTGCCTTTGGCCATGGCGGTTGGCTGGCCTATCTTTTCTTCTTGTACTCTTAGGTTTTCTCCCAAATAACTTGAGGCCCCTTTAGTTTTCTTCTTTCTCCTTTCCAGATCTAATCTCTAGATTTGTTTAGGTTGCTGTTTTGGGTTTATCGTTTTTGTGTAGGATACTCGGTTTGTGTAGGATGCTCGTTTTCGGTGGAAGTGGTGATTCAGCCATGGTGTTCTACTGCAGCCATGGGTCTCGGTTTAGGTTGGGTGCGTTGAACATGGGTGGGTTGGTCCAGGAACTTCATTCGGGCACTTCTTTGCGAGCGGGAGTTTGAGGGGTGGAGGATTCAGAGCTGTTTAGGTTCTCCATTCGAGCGCTCCTGTGCGACTGGAAGTTTGAGGGGTGATTTCCGCTTCTTTGGTGGTTGGTGATTGTGTTCGGTTATGAGGAGTTTGGCGCTGGGCAAACAAAGAGGGGACTGCTCAGTGTCTGGGGGTGAGGACCATTCGTGGGAGGTGTTTGGGTCACGGAGAAGAACCAAAGGAGGTGGCTGCAGTAGCTGTAGAAGAGGAGAGTGAAGCAAGAAGAGGCTGGCGATGTTCAGAGGTGAAGCAAAGTAGGTTCGGTCACGGGTGGTTCTCGATGGTGAAGCAAGAAGAGGCTGTTGTCGGGTGGTTCTCGACGGGTGGTTGAGTGTCCGGCAATGGAGGTTGAGTGGTGCAGAGTGCTTCGGGTCAGGCGTGGGGCTCAAGAGTGTATCAGATTTGAGTCAGTCGTGGGGTGTGTAGTTGGGGTGTGTAGCTGTGATGTAGGTGGGGCTCAAGAGTTTGGTTTTTTATTTTGTTTTTTTATTTATTTTTTTTAGTTGTTTTTAAAATATAATATCGTGAGGCGAAGGGGTTGGTTGTAAGATTGCGAGTAGCAATAGTAGGAGAGTGAGTTTTTACTCTTCGAATCTCTCTCAGTGCGTTTTATTTCCGTGTACCTGTAAATTTCATGTTTTTAATGGAATTTTTCTTTGCCGATCAAAAAAAAAAAAAGTGAGGTAAGGTAAGGTAGAGAGAAAATAAACTAAAAATAAGTTCTAGTTTAGTTTTCCAAAACATTTTGTAGCCAACTCATAACGATCTTGTGACCATTAACCCAAAACATGCTAATATATGTCCAATAAGTCTTGTGAATAATTATTAGTTCGAAAGCTAAACCAGTGAAACACACATATGCTGTTGGTCATGGAATTTACGTAAGGAATTATGTACACATGGATATAAGTGAACATATCACGAAGATGATACATATGTAAGTAATTATGATAATAGACATATGGTGGCCTCCCAGTGACAATAGACATTACCTCATTTCCTTTGTTACCATAGTTAATAGATATCTTTTTCTCGATTTGGAGGTGACTTTGACCAGCTTTCGAAGAGCGACAAATAAAATGTCATGATTAGTTAGATATTGTGGTAACTTAACAAAAAGGAAAAAGGAAGAAAGATATGATAGAATTTCATCACAAAATGTGATAACTACATAAATTTAATTTTAGATTAGATTAACAAGGAAAGTTAACACCTGTGTAAAGAACAATAGAACATTAAAGGGAGAGCGTATTACCGGAAGGAAGGTACATAGAACAAGGAACTCATGTTGTCAATCCTGTTCCATCCACTTCCCAAGTCACTACATCCTTTAAATCTGGACAACAATTTTGCAGAAACATAGACAGAATGAATACACAAGAAAACCTTAGAATCAGTTTGAATCTAAACCATGAAGAATATAGAAAAATCACCTAAGCAAAATAAAATCAACCCATTAGCCCGTAATTGGTGCCTTGGTCATATTTTTTTTTCATACCAGTAATGATACAGTTTATGTATGGATCGTTCTTATACATACCTACTTACATGATTGCACACATACAAGTAGAAAGCTTAATGCTAAGGAGTTGAGAGGAGAAGATCATATAGAATTATAACTATCCAAAAAAAATAAAAGGCTAAATATCTTACTACTACTCAGCAAGTATTGTTATGGAGCATCATGAAGCAACTGGAGAGGATACATGTAAGTAGGTATGTATAAGAACGATGATGAGGATGATGATGAAGAAATTGGAGATTCGTGGTAGGTTTTGAAGGTTGGGAACCAGTCTCAGGGTTGATTTTGTGTGTTAGGGCCGAGAGTTGGGGCTTTTGATTATTATCTTCGTCTCTTTTTTTTTTTTTTGAATTGGCGCCAAAAAATTTCATTTTGGCACTAAATCCATTATTCTCTATTTTCCACCTTTTGATTTTTTTTCTGTATAAATTGTGGATATTAATTTCATTGTGGATATATTTAACAGATGAAGCTACCTTCCTAGAGAATTATCTCCATTTCCCTGAAGCTTCCTTAGTCACTGTCTCTAAAGTATACTCAGTTTGTCACTGCTCTGAATTGGAAATTCATCAAACACCTCTCATCTGAAATAAAAGAGAAAACACTATGCTTCTCTAAGTAATGGCTTAATGAAAAACAAAAACAAAGATCAAATCAATCCCAACTTGTTCTTTTAAATCGAATCAATACAAGGAAGGAAAATGTATACTAAAGGGTTAATTCAATTTTCAATAACATGTGAAGAGTTTGACTATTGCTTCGGCATGCATAACCTACTTTGGTTTGTCTATTAGGGACACAAGAGATCTGAGAACACTCGGACTGATCTTGTCAGCAAGAATACCTTTTTCTGAAATCAAGGACTTTTCCGTCACATAACTTTGTAGTTTCTTTGCATCTAGGTCAATTTGTGCTTGATCTGCATTAAATCATGGACAATATTTAAGCACCCAAGATTCAAGAACTAGAAAGACAATAAAGTATTTGGAGAATAATGGAAAATGAGCTATTAGTGTATGATATGTCATTCAAAAGCTGAAGCACGTAACAACAATGGCATTATTTGACTTCAATGTCAAAGCTGGTAAAAAATAATTAATTAGTTTAAGCATCTAGAGAATGCCTTAGAAATTACTTGGAACCCCAAAGACATTAGCATTTGCAACCTGCTAGTGCCGAAATAGATGTTTCTGATGGTGATCACCTGCTAGCCATTATTTTTGTTTCCGAACACTATTTTTGTTTTTTCATGTTTTTTAAACGAAACGAGAAAAATTCGAAACATTTTCATTTTGTGTTCTATGTTTTCATTGTCTAGAAAAGGAAAAATTTGTTCGGCTAACTGTTTTCGAATACTGTTTTTAGAAAGGAAAAAAAATCCAAAAACAAACCCTTTTATAAAAAAACTCAAAAGCTGTTTTCGAATATTCAAAATTTGATTTTGCACAACAATGAAATAGTGAGTGTTTTTGAACATTTTGTTGATTTGTTTTTGAAAACATGAAAATAACAGAAACACAACCAGCCATGCCAGAAGTGTATGGTATTGACGCAAAATGAATTCGGTCAACACATTTCATTTTCTATGCATTTTTTCTAGGTACGTAGCATTGTTGATTCATGTTTTAATTCTGATTGATTACAAGATGACAATGAAGGAATTTGCAAAGAAACTAGAAGAACTAGCAGAGCAGCTTTTAGACATGTTATGTGAGAATCTAGGGATAGAGAAAGGGTACCTCAAGAAGGCTTTCTATGGCTCCAAGGGTCCAACCCTTGGCACCAAGGTCAGCAACAACCCTCCGTGTCCCCACCCGGAGCTGATCAAGGGCCTCCGAGCCCACACTGACGCTGGTGGCATCCTCCTCCTCTTCCAAGATGACAAGGTCAGCGGACTCCAGCTGTTCAAGGATGGCAAATGAGTTTTTTATCTACGGTTTTAAAAACAAAAGTGCCCCCACTAAAGTTTGAAAATATAATTTTTTTCCCATAGTTTGTTTTTTCTCATTAATTTATCCCCACTAAAAGTCCAAATATTATTTCTATCGATAGTTTCAAACTTATTTTTGATTTGCCTGTACGAAATTTTGTTCTTGCTCCGCCAGAATTTCCATATTGGCCACATATATTTGGGATTTTCTTCATTTGAGATAATGAATATGAGATTGTCAAATAGGAAAAAGTTGTGTGTATAACTTTGTCTCTCTCAACAAAAATTCTCGCTTAGCCCCCCTAAAGCAAGTGATTGTTTTCTATCTCAAACGATACCTACCCATTAGGTGGTTTTTATGTGAATCAATCTTGTTATTGAACTGTTATGAATGCCAAATACCCACATTGAAAGTGAACCGATAAACTAGTAAAGTGTCCCAAATAAATCCAGAAATTGTATACACAGTGAATACATAAAGTAGTGATGAAGATCACATACAGTAGGCATAGCACTGCCAACACAAGCAATGGAAGCTGCCTTCACTCCTGCTCGAACACCCTCTGCAAATTCCAGAAACACCATTCAATAGCAACCCATGATCTATAAAAAATAATAGCATTGGTCAAACTAAACCCATGAACCATACATAATTTTCGGTTTTCTCATCAACCAAACACTCAAAAACTAGTAAGAAACAAACCTTGAGTGCAATGGCGTGAATTCAGAATCTTCTGATCCTCAGCCGGTGAAGCAATCAAAGGTGAATTTCTTTGGTTTTCCCAAGCGTCCCTCATCGTCGATGGAATTCCCATTTTGGTCTCAGATTTTTGAAGCTCTGTTTCGATTAAATTGAATAGAATAAACATTGAAATCTGAGAGGATTAGAGAGAGGTTGAAGGGGATTGAGGAAATGAGAGTATTTCGATTTCTTACAATAAATAAATGAATAAATCTAGGACCAACTCTCGTTTGAAAAAAACAAAAACATAATAGAGTGAACATGTGTCTTTGGCGGCGGCGCTGAAGAGGGAGTAGCTAGGGTAGAGAGCGAAGAGGACAGAGAGTGAACATGTGTTTCTCAATGTCTATCCCTCTTCCTACTAGCAATACCATCTTTCTCAAACTTCTTCCTTTTTCCATCTCCGAAATCATCGTAGTCCGACTCTCCCCTCAGAAAATCCCCCAATTCTTCCCCATCATCCTCGTCCTCGATTCCAAAATCAGGAGTGCTCTCTTCAGTCGTCGTGTTCTTCTTGATGAGTCGCTTCCGAGGCTTCGGCTTCACATCCGAATCGTTGTAAATTGGGGTCGGAGAGGGGCTTTGAGGGAAATCGAAGGGCCTTGTAGAGAGGATGGAGGTGGATGATTTAAGAGGGGTTTTGAGAGAGAGAGAGAGAGAGAGAAGAGAGAGAGGGCGATGGGTTTGGAGTTGGAGAGAGAGAGGGAGAGAGCCTTTTTTTTCTTTCTCTTCAAATAGGAATTTTCTCTCAAATTAGGGCTCAAAATGGTGAAAGGAAGTAGATCAACGTTGGGAATATTCAGGGGGGAGGGACAGATCGGACATGTTATTTTTCTAATATATATATATATATATTTTGGTGAATTGGGGCCACAAAATTTCATCTTGGCGCCTTTTTTTTTATATTATACAATTCACGACATGCATTGTGTGTCGTAAAAAGATAATATTTTTAACGGCAAGTAATGTATGCGTCGTAAAAAGTGTAATACTTTTAACGGCGAGCATTGTGTGTGCTGTGAAAAGTATTCACTTTTCACGACTGGCGTATGTGCGTCGTATATAATTAATGTATTAACGACATTTCATATGCATATCGTAGAAAGTTTTATTATTTACGGTGTGCATTGCAAGTCATAAACAAATCATCGTTATTACCATTCACGGCCTACGCAAAAGACACGCCGTGGTTGAAAAAGTATTTACGACGTACAAAAAAACAAGTCATAAAACTGAGAAACTACGACATGCATTTATTGTATGTCGTTGATGTGGTGCCGTAAAAAGTCAGTTTTGTTGTAGTGAAATAAATAAAAAGATATCCGAGCGAAACCAACGTGAAGTGTATTGAAAAACCCTTTTTTTATTCGGTTCATTTTTTCCCAATATTTACAAGGTAAGCAGCCAATGAACCAGATGGACAGGAAAACTGTTTAACTGGGGTTTCATTCAGGTCAGGCTTGTGTATCATTTACTATTATTGATATCTAGAAGATGGTCAACGACTCCAGTCAATCCACAATTTGAACCAATTATCATTTGGTTAGCACAAGATTTGTACACTGACTGAATTTAGACCACGTTTGGATGGCAAGAATGGAGAGTCAGAATGGAAATCTTATTCCCAATCTCTTTCATTCCAATGTTTGGGTGCATCCAAGAATGGGAATGTGATTCCTAGTTCAGTTTTAAGGCGGAGTGAGGTTACAAGGTTAAACCTAAAACTTTATGTAAAGCTTCATTAATTGCTAAAATCTGCAGAAGGTTTGAAGGCAGTCAAAATTGATATTATCAGTGGAAATACATATGTTCCAGGGCAGGTGGGAAGAGTAACGTCAATAGAAGATAAAATAAAATAAAAAAATTACAAGAATCTCTTCCGAATTGAAGCAACCAAGTTTGCTGTGAAGTCTCTAAGTTCCCAGTGGTTGTCAGCAAATCGGTTCCCTAATATCTTTGCAACAAGGCAAGTAACAACCGATGGCATCAATTGGTGTAGTTGAGAAAGAAAAGACTGCCTAATTAGATATACACCTATTGCCAGACCAAAGCATGCCAAATGTACAATTTACTGTAGACCCTACTAATGGTCATCATGTAACTGATTGCATCAACAAACTTACATAAGGTTCTATGTGTATGTGTGGATTCCGGAGAAGGCTCCCAACAAGATGCATCAGAGCAAACAGCAGACGGAAATTGTTTAAACCACAGGAAACATGATATTACTCAAAGACAAATTAATAATAATAAATATAGTGGAATGAGCAAGAAAATGCTACAAAATTTCAAATGTTTTATTTGAAATATTTAGCCTCCAAAATACCTCATCGGCAATAAAGTAGGTAAAATAAGGAACTAAAGGATGAAGTCATGAGTCTGTTGCCAAACTCTCTAAGGCTTCCTTGAAAAGGACCGAGTCAGACCTAGTCACAGCAAGTTCGGTGATTTTATCGACGTATAGCTGTACCAGAAAGAAGTATAATTAAATAATTTCATAATAGTAGAAGAGTAGCAAACAAACACATGCATCTGTGTGGAAAAAAAATAGTAAACATATACTTGAAGCTCCCTGGAAAGTACGTGTTTAATAGGTAATTTAATGTCGACAGGAAGATCATCTTTCTGCTCAAGTTTTTTGTTATCAGAAGGAGCATCAATAACTACAATTGCACAATCATTTCAAATATAAGCACCTCTTTATGGGCTCTAGTAGCTACAAAATGGAAGGGGTTCAAGTAAATAAGATCTAGTAGTGATTGAATCTTCTGTGTTCCAAATAAGAAAAATGTTTTCGTATAGCCTGTATGTCCAATTGAACTTTTAAGTTATGTATAGACCTTCAACAAGAGCATTTTCTGGACTAGAGGGTTGCACACCTTCAATAGCCCGCCAGTGACAAACAATTGAAGTATCAAGTGGTGCTTTTAGCAAAGGTGCTTCAATCACCTACATGTCAAAATTTAAGGAAATATATAAATAAGAAAAGAAACATGGAAAAATGATCCGGCCAAATTAAGATAGTTGGCATAAGAAGCAATCTCTTACATCTTTAAAATCCAAATCCTTTGATAAATTTAGAAATCCCCTAGACATTGATTTATGATTATGTATCAATTTTAACTAGTAAATAGCTATCCCAATCAAACAACAAAGACAAAACGACACAACGATTTTACGTAGAAAAATCACAATTGGAGTGCCTCCAATTGTGATAAAAAAACAAAAGGCAAAAGCCACAAAACAATCCACTAAGAAGACATAAAAGAATTACACAAGTGTACTCTCAATTACCTAGCAAATCCATACCCGAATCGAACTGACCCCTATGTGCCTCTTCTAGCCCCGTCTTCACCTCGAAATTGTTATGTCCAATGTTGAATCCACAGAACTGATGTCGAATCACGACGATGAGCCACTCCAGAATCCACCAAAAGCTTCAGGATCGAATTCCACGAATTAATCCACCGAAGAATCACTCTTTCTCTTTTAAATAAAACAAAATAAACAAATCCCTTTGATGTAATCCACTCAATTCATGATATAAACTCTCATAGATATCAAAGGAAACAAACAAACAAGCTCCAGATGAAAACCCTAATACCCAAGAAGAAGATCCGGAAGCCGTACCCTAAAATCAGACTGAAACACATATTTATAGAAAACAGATCTGCAATCTCCACTCGAGCGCAAGAATGGCCACTCGAGTGGATCTATGCTTGAGTGGGTAAAAACAACTCCCAGTACTTTTGCAGGTGAGTGAAACTTCTGAAAGGTCGCGATTTCCGCTCGAGCGGAAAAACAACTTTGACTGCAAACATGAAAGAATTAACTTTTGAAACATCTCTACAAGGCACAATTCAGGTTGGATTCGTATCTAAAACTCATAGCCTCACTGAAATAAAAGATCGAATAAAATTATAACTGAATGGAGTTTTGTCAAACGAGATTGCGAAGAATAAAAACTTGACACTTGTCATCAATGTAAAACAAATCCTTGTGTCAAACAGCTCTTCTGAACAACAAAGGATCCCCGGAGTCAAATCCATAAATTAGCTGAGTACAAAATAGTGGCCAAAATATTAGACACTCAGATTAGAAACACTAAAATTTTACAAAAAGAAAAAGTAAAAATAACGAAAGAAAATTTAAGGAAAAGGGAAGTTTCAATATTGCCACATAAAAGCTTTTTTTTAATCAAATCAGAGTCATCATCTAGATATTCCACATCACATACATTGAGCAGTGGCAAGCTAAAAGAAAATATATTTTAGCCATACAAAGGTCAACCACAACTGTCAACTAAGTTGGTCAACCAAAATTAAGGTAGGACACCTTGATTGTAATTTAGTCGTCCTAATAAAAAATAATCACTTAAATTGCAAATTGACTGTAATTTACTCATTCTTGTTTCTACTTGTCAAGATTAAGCCAAAACTGAAGAATCCTGGTTGTTCCCTATCAACCATGCAATGGTAATTGTGGTCAAACATGGGTATTTAAGCATAATCATATAGCAATATAAATAGAACATAGGAATTAACAGTGTAAAGCTATAGCTAAGAAGCATCGACACGGACATGCGACACGACATGGATACGACATGGACACGTCGACACGCTAATTTTAAAAAATGCATGACACGACACGTGGGGGACACACATGAAATATATAATTTTATATATTTATTATATGTTATATATATATGAATATATCATTTAAAGATAATAAAAAAAAATGCAATATGACACTAATTCTTAGGTGCCGTTTGGTAACACTTACGTTTTCAGTTTTCTGTTTATATTTACAAAAATTTAAAAAACTCAAATAAAAACTTGTTTGGTAAAATTTTTGATTTATAAATCAGTGGTCTCAGTTTATAAATTTGGCCAAAAAATGAAAACACAAAAAATGTGTTTCCATTTTGAGTTTTCAGTTTTTTTTTTACCACCCAAAACTAGCCACCACCCGTCACCATTTTCCACCACCGTCTTCCGTCACCACCACCCACCACCCACCCTCCACCACCCCCTGCCACCACTACTCACCACCCACATGCTACCACCAGCCACCACCCACCTGCCACCCACTCGTCACCACCACCCACCCCTCGCCGCCGCCACCACCACCACCACCACCACCACTCGCCACCACCCGCCACTACCATCCACCGCCAGCCACCCCCTACACGGTCTGTAATTTGCAACTTGCAGTGATCACCCGCTTGGAAAACTTTGAGGTTGTCTGATCTACATGCATTTGAGCTGCAGAAAGATGTGGCTTCTTAGCAAGATGTTGATGTTTGATTGGACACTTGAACTCAACTCTGATTTCTTCAGTTTTTTAACATCTTCTCTAATCCTCATCATAACTCGTCCAGCGCTCCAATTTAGAACGACCCCTTTTCAAGTCTTGCTCATTGGTAGTGGAGTTATCATCTTCTCTTTGTGTCCTCAAAAAATAACATTGCTTCAGGGTTTCTTGCTCATGATGCTTTGTAAATGCAGCAGATGATGATTTCAGTTGTCCAAGATCACAACAGTCAATTGAGTCTGCTGTCGGTGGCTTCATTCTTGTTTGCTCACTTGAGCTTTCCACTCTAACCTGAACAATATGAAAATGTCAGAAAGAATAGCTTCCAAAATAAATGAAACTAATATACAGATCTGCAAGATTTAATTCTACCAGCAATTTGTAAGGAGTCATGTTTGTCAAGCAATGTGAAAAATATGATGCAACCATAATTTCTCAATTCCAAGACTCCTATCACCTGAAAGCTGAAGATATGATAAGTATTGAC